TCGGAATGGCGAAGAACTCAAAGAAAGTCACCAGCTGTATACTTCGGCTGTCAGGTAAATCGTGTGAACTCGTTAGACACGGAATCAAGCAGAAAAACGTGGGTCAGGTGTAATCGTATTGAAACTTCATTACTGAACGCTGAATAGCCCATGTTTGCAAAGACCAAACTGTTCCTTTTAGCCGTCTTACATGCCATGATGTACGACGTTGAATGTTAGTATGTTACTGAAGTTGAGGAGAACAAAGGGGTGGTCACTCAAGGAGTGATGTAGCCAAACTCTCTGCAAAGTGTTCCTCCCTGATCACGTTACTAGTGAGCGGTTTAGATACTGGACTGTATTGACAGACGTGATTTCTGCATCGAGAGATGATAGACTCTCCAGATGGTTCGCCTGAGACTGAGACAACCGATGAATATCAAGAATTATAAACAGGGTTCAGCTGGACTACAGATGTCTGCTTGATCGTCCGAAAAGATGCTGGCACGAAGCGATGATCAAGTTATTCGGTAGGTAGTTGAGGCAGAAGGTGGAGAACGGAGGATGGCGAAGGAACATTGACTAATGTTGTTAGCACATCCATAACGACGACAATTCAGAGAACGAATATTGGATTTAGAAATTCAGAAGAATTAACCACTTGAATGATGAAGGGCCGGAAAATCTAGTTCCATAATGTTCGACAAACGCGTAGACCGTTGTCGGTTCTGTCTGTCATTGTCAGGCAAGGTTTACTAAGTTCTTTTAACATTTTCCAGGGTCTCAGGACCTGTTCATGCGTGAGTATTTGAAACATCGCATTTTGACAATGTTCCGCTAATGGCCAAATGGTTTCATGAGGTGTTCAGCATGACTAGCACTGCCAATCGACTATGACGGTGACTTTCGTTTCAGTACTTTTGACTGATTTTTTATGACCAATGTAAATTTGCATCACTTCACCTCTGAATCAGAATCTTTCATCACATATGGAACCAATCCGAGATTCTTGGACAGGTCCATTTTTTCTATTGCTATATGATTCCTTAACATACTGAAAGTGTCACTAGCCACGGAAGCTCTCGAGACCTTTTTCTGTTGCTGTGATGATTTATCATCTACGATTAACAGGGCGTAATGTTGAACCTTTTGAAATAATATTCACAATTTGTACTAAGTATCGATCGCGCACTGGTTTTGGATATCTATAATTTTTATGCAAAGTTCAAGTACAAAGGGATGGTTTCTTCTTTCTCAGATCATAGGATCATGATTGTAGTGGCTTGAACACGTGATCAAGATTCTGGAGATTGGATTCTCATGAAGGATTCTTTTAGCAGGCCGTACGGAAGACAAATAAGGTTGGTATACTGCGCACCTCGGGTTGTAGGGGTTCAGAACTACTTTGAATGATTATTTTTGCTTACTTTATGCATCTCTACCAAAACAACAGTAAAGACTGGATATATGAAAGGCCTGACCAAAGTTCAGTTGCCTTTTTACCAAGTACTCGAAAGCCCGGGGTCTTCTCTAATTGAAAGGCAACCGAAGGATGAAACGATTGGTAGAGAATAATTCAAAATTAATCTATTACTCGATTAATTCAGATGAAGATGATTGTTGACTCGGCATTTCCCGTTCTTGGTATGCGAATTGGATTACGGCAGCTGATCCACTTTAACAGGTGTCGGTTCTGGCATCGATCGCTGGTCTAATTTTCCTGTAATTCCACCAGAAGGTGATTCATTTTGACGAAGGACTTGTAGTGCCTCAGATTTGTGTGACTTTAAACGTATTCTCATTTTGGCTTATTTCAGCATAATATAAATAGTACTCGGTTCGAGCTGTAAGACTGCCCTACAGAAATTGAAAGGCCGATCCGATTTTTGTGTGTACAAATCGTCATTGTCGCCGATGCCCCTGCAGCCTCAGACGTGGCGTCAGATTACGGCCGAATGGCCGGTCGTCTGGGTCACGTTCCAGACGTTGTGTGACCAACGCGTGGGATGTTGACC